CTGTAAGAGGCAACTAAAATGCCAGGATCAAGGGCCTAGTAACCCTTTCTCCTGTATAAATTACTAAATTTAAAAAGAGAAGCTTTCGTTTTTCTTTTCGGGGCACCCTGCCTTGGTGGGATATGGCCGGTTTATTGAAAAAAAGAAAAAAGTCTGTCGAGTATACCTGGTAAAGCATATGGTCGAGTTATTATTGAAAGAATTAAGAGTAAGACGGTGAGTAGGATAGCAGTGGAACAAGGAGGCTTTAGGAAGGGTACGGGGTGTGTAGATCAAGTGTTTGCAGTGAAACATATAGGTGAACAGTATTTAGATAAGGGTAAAAAGATTTCTGTGGCATTTATAGATTTGGAAAAGGCATATGATAGGGTGGATAGGGGGGCAATGTGGCAGATGTTGCAAATGTATGGAATAGGAGGTAGGTTACTGAAAGCAGTGAAGAGTGTTGATGAAGATAGTGAGACTCAGGTTAGAGTATGCAGGCAAGAGGGGGATTATTTCCCAGTAATAGTAGGGCTTAGACAGGGATTTGTGATGTCACTATGGCTCTTCAACATATGTATAGATGGGGTTGTAAGAGAAGTGAATGCTCGGGTGTTGGCAAGAGGTGTGGGGTTAAAAGATAAAGAATCTAATGCAGTGCGGGCTGTCACAGTCGCTCTTTGCTGATGATACTGTGCTTTTGGGAGATTTTGAAGAGAAGTTGCAGAGGTTGGTTGATGAGTTTGGTAGGGTATGTAAAAGGAGGAGGTTAAAAGTGAATATAGGAAAGAGTAAGGCGATGAGGATAAAAAAATAGGTAACAGAAGACTGGATATCAGACTGGAGGGAGAGAGTATGGAGGTGACTGTATTTAGATATATGGGAGTGGACATATCAGTTTATGGATCTAAGAAAGATGAAGTAAATCATAGAATTGATGAGGTAGAAAAAGGTGAGTGGTGCACTGAGGAGTTTGTGGAGACAAAAAGCTTTATCCATGAAAACAAAGAGGGGAATGTATGAGAGTATAGTTATATCAATGCTCTTGTGTGGGTATGAGGCATGGGTTGTGAATGTTGCAACAAGGAGAAGGCTGGAGGCAGTGGAGATGTCGTGTCTGAGAGTAAAATGTGGTGTGAATGCAATGCAGAATCTGCAGTTTGGAGATTAGGAGGAGGTGAAGGATTACCAAAACTATTATCCAGAGAGCTGAGGAGAGGTTACTGAGATGGTTTGGACATGCAGAGAGGATGGAATGTAATAGAATGACTTAGAGTGTATAGATCTGTAGTGGAGGGAAAGCTAGGTAAGGGTCGGCCAAGGAAATGTTGGAGGGAGGGGGTAAAAGAGGTTTTGTATGTGAGGGGCTTGGACCTCCAGCAAGCACGCATGAGCGTGTTAGATAGGAGTGAATAGAGACAAATAGTTTTTAGGACTTGATGCACTGTTGGAGTGTAAGCAAGGTAACATTTATGAAGGGGTTCAGGGAAACTGGCAGGCCGGACTTGATTCCTGGAGATGGGAAGTCCAGTGCTGGCACTCTGAATGAGGGGTGTTAATGTTGCAGTTTTACAATTGTAGTGTAAGCATGCCTCTGGCAAGACAGTGATGGAGTGAATGATGAAAGTTTTTATTTTTTGGGCCACCCTGCCTTGGTGGGAAATGGTTGATGTATTCTTTGGCTTTAAAGAGTGCAGACATAGCTCCTTTGCATAAGGGAGGTAGTAGAGCACTAGCTAAAAATTACAGACCAGTAGCCCTAACCTCTCACATCATAAAAATCTTCGAAAGAATGATGAGACGGCAGGTTACAAATTTCATGGACCAGCACAACCAACATAACCCAAACCAGCATGGTTTTAGAGCAGGACGATCATGCCTGTCACAGCTGCTGAACCATTATGACAGAATTACGGAGGCACTGGAAGACGACCAAAACGCAGATGTGATTTACACAGATTTTGCAAAGGTGTTTGACAAATGTGATCATGGAGTGATAGCGCACAAAATGAAGGCCATGGGCATTACGGGGAATGTAGGCAGATAGATTTTCAGTTTCCTAGCACACACAACACAAAAAGTAGTAGTGAACAGGGCAAGATCCATCATCAGTGAGGTCAAAAGCTCAGCACCCCAAGGCACTGTCCTGGCACCTTTGCTGTTCCTTATCCTTATAGCAGACATAGACAAAAACACCCGGCACACTTTTGTATCATCATTTGCAGATTTTTTTTTTTTTTTTTTTCAACAAGTCGGCCGTCTCCCACCGGGGCAGGGTGACCCAAAAAAGAAAGAAAATCCCCAAAAAGAAAATACTTTCATCATCATTCAACACTTTCACCACACTCGCACATTATCACTGTTTTTGCAGAGGTGCTCAGAATACAACAGTCTAGAAGCATACACATATAAAGATACACAACATATCCCTCCAAACTGCCAATATCCCAAACCCCTCCTTTAAAGTGCAGGCATTGTACTTCCCATTTCCAGGACTCAAGTCCGACTATATGAAAATAACCGGTTTCCCTGAATCCCTTCACTAAATATTACCCTGCTCACACTCCAACAGATCGTCAGGTCCCAAGTACCATTCGTCTCCATTCACTCCTATCTAACACGCTCACGCACGCTTGCCGGAAGTCCAAGCCCCTTGCCCACAAAACCTCCTTTACCCCCTCTCTCCAACCCTTTCGAGGACGACCCCTACCCCGCCTTCCTTCCCCTATAGATTTATATGCTTTCCATGTCATTCTACTTTGATCCATTCTCTCTAAATGACCAAACCACCTCAACAACCCCTCTTCTGCCCTCTGACTAATGCTTTTATTAACTCCACACCTTCTCCTAATTTCCACACTCCGAATTTTCTGCATAATATTTACACCACACATTGCCCTTAAACAGGACATCTCCACTGCCTCCAACCATCTCCTCGCTGCTGCATTTACCACCCAAGCTTCACACCCATATAAGAGTGTTGGTACTACTATACTTTCATACATTCCCTTCTTTGCCTCCATAGATAACGTTTTTTGACTCCACATATACCTCAATGCACCACTCACCTTTTTTCCCTCATCAATTCTATGATTAACCTCATCCTTCATAAATCCATCCGCCGACACGTCAACTCCCAAGTATCTGAAAACATTCACTTCTTCCATACTCCTCCTCCCCAATTTGATATCCAATTTTTCTTTATCTAAATCATTTGACACCCTCATCACCTTACTCTTTTCTATGTTCACTTTCAACTTTCTACCTTTACACACATTCCCAAACTCATCCACTAACCTTTGCAATTTTTCTTTAGAATCTCCCATAAGCACAGTATCATCAGCAAAAAGTAACTGTGTCAATTCCCATTTTGAATTTGATTCCCCAAAATTTAATCCCACCCCTCTCCCGAACACCCTAGCATTTACTTCCTTTACAACCCCATCTATAAATATATTAAACAACCATGGTGACATTACACATCCCTGTCTAAGACCTAGTTTTACCGGGAAGTAGTCTCCCTCTCTTCTACACACCCTAACCTGAGCCTCACTATCCTCATAAAAACTCTTTACAGCATTTAATAACTTACCACCTATTCCATATACTTGCAACATCTGCCACAGTGCTCCTCTATCCACTCTATCATATGCCTTTTCTAAATCCATAAATGCAATAAAAACTTCCCTATCTTTATCTAAATACTGTTCACATATATGCTTCAATGTAAACACCTGATCTACACATCCCCTACCCACTCTGAAACCTTGCAGATGACATTAAAATAAGCATGAAAGTCAGTACAGTAGAGGACACTGAAAAAGTATAGGAAGACATAAACAGGGTTTTCCAGTGGGCAGTGGAGAACAACATGACGTTCAATGGTGATAAGTTGCAGCTGCTTAGGTATGGAAAGAATGAAGAACTCAAAAGGAGCACTATATACAACACTCAAGAGGGTCACCAAATAGAACGTTAGGAACGGACCTTTCTTTTAAAGACCATGACAAGACAAAGATCACGACAGCCAGGAAGATGACAGAGTGGGTATTGAGAACTTTCAACACAAGGGAAATAATGCTGATGGTGACACCCTTCAAATCGCTAGTGCTCCCTCACTTAGAATATTGCTCAGTGCTGACGGCCCCATTCAAGGCAGGAGAATTATCGGAGCTGGAACAAATACAGAGAACACTTACGGCTCACACTTGAGCCAGTAAAGCACCTAAACTACTGGGAATGCCTGCAAGTCTTAAACATGTACTCATTGGAGCGGAGGAGAGAGAGGTACATGATAATATATACCTGGAAGGTACTCGAGGGCTTGGTCCCAAATCTGCACACTGCCATAACAACACACTGGAGTGAGAGATATGGGAGGAAGTGTAAAATAAACCCAGTGAGGAGCAGGGGTGCAGTGGGGACAATAAGGGAACACTGTATCAACATCTGGGGCCCCAGACTTTTCAACATCTTCCCAGAAGATATCAGAAACACTGCTGGAAAAAGTGTAGAAGCCTTCAAAAGGAAACTAGACAAGTATCTTTACCAGGTGCCAGATCAACCAGGCTGTGATGGATATGTGGGACAGCGGGCCTGCAGCAGCAACAGCCTGGTTGACCAGGCAAGCACCAGACGAGCCTGGCCCATGGCCGGGCTCAGAGAGTAGATAAACTCTCGAAACTCTTCAAAGGTATTAATAAAAAAAATGTAAACTATATTACCTATATACAGCAGAAAAAAAAAATTATTGTTATTTTTATTACTATTACTAGTTGTCCAATTTTTCTCCGTCCTCTCTAAATGCCCAAACCACCTCAACAGCTCCTTCTCATCCCTCTGAATTATACCTTTGACAACTAAACACTTCAAATTCTTGTATAATATTCACACCACACATTAATCTCAAACATGACATCTCCACTGCCTCTAGTCTTCTCCTTGCTCCAACATTCAGTACATATCTATTTTATTCCTCTCAAAAGTAAATTTCTTACCTGGATATCATAAATACAAACCTCCATAAAATAGGGGAAGGCCGAGTCACTGTAGAGAATATCTGCTAGTCGCACTGACCCGCTGGTGAGGACGTCAATTTGGTGTTTGAGGTAGTAATCGCTAGCCAGGAATTTTGGTAAAAATCTTGAAAATACAAAGAAAAATGGCAATTACCAGTAAGTGAGAAGTGACATCTTTGGTGAAAGAAGTGCATGTACAACACTTGGCTATCTTTACTGTGAAGATATTTCATCAACCAGTGCCTTTATCAGTCCAATCCAGAGAATAATATTGAAGACAGTGGAAGGCATGAAGTAGTACTTTGAGGTGATTAGTCTGTCAGACTCAATAGTTGTTGTTTGGGACTGACCAACTCCTACAAGACCGATGGAATAATTCCCCTCAAGCTGCTGCTTCACATGATCTTCCATCTCCAGTATTTTATTTTTATTTATTTATTTATTTATTAATTTGAACATGATACAGAGAAGTACAAGGAATACAATTTTTAAAGTGCAGCATGCCAAAGCACCTTGTATGCAGAGCATTATGGGCAGGCTTAAAATTAACTTAAGATTAACTAAGCAATGATATATTCAGTGGTACAAAAATTATTGTAAAACATAACAATTTAATACAAATGAGTATTACAAAGACAGGTCATATGGTCATTTACTGTGTTGCTGTGTAATCACTAGAATGGAGTATTATGTTAGGTAATGAAGTTAAATAGTAACAAAGTTTGATTGGGTCACAGGTTGACATTTATGAGATACAATAATGAGATACATGTATGAGATACAATTTATGAGATACAATTATTCAGTATTTATTTAGTTGTGGGTGAGTAAGTGATTTTTGAGAAGAGACTTGAATTTATAAACAGACAGTGTTTCTTTTATATTCACAGGTAATGAATTCCAGATTTTAGGGTCTTTTATGTGCATTGAGTTTTTGCATAGCGTGTGATGGACACGAGGAACATCAAAGAGTGATTATTCTCTGTACTGGACTTAGAGAGCCACTGTCTGGTGAAACATCTCCACTACAAAGCTACCCAAATGTATTAATCATTCACTTACTGACTTTGTATACCATTAATCCCTTGACTGTCGCAGCCCCAAATCCTGAGGTGTCTCCTGGTGTCGCAAAATACCCCCCCAACCCCCTTAAAAAAAAAATTATTTTTTTCTTATGAAATGATAGAGAATCTTTTCCAGATTGTAATGACACCAAAAGAACGATATCTGATGGAAAACTGACGGAATTATGCTCTCACAAAGTTAGCGACCTCAGCAATATTTACGAATCGGCGATTTCGCCCACTTTGAGTCCTATTTTCAGCTAATTTCATTTTTCCAGTCAACCAAACTCATAGCTATTTCTTTAGAACTTCATTTTTTCTATTGACTGAGAACAAGAAACTGCCCATTTACTGATTTCAACTACCCAATAATGTGGTCAGAAATTTGCAATTTGGCCAATTTCACGAAAATTAAAAAATATGACAATTTCAAAATAGGGTCCAGAATGAACAATGCAGATATTCCTGGCTCTAAAATAACATTTTCTTTGTTCATCAGCCATGTCTCCAGGCCCCTCTGATATTACTCTTGCTTTCTATTTTGAATTTTTATTCAAACAAAAAATAGAAGATTTACTGTTATGCAGACTACTGCAATACTGTAATAATTGTATAAAAAATGTCAACCCATTCATGACTGCATATTAGAATGCCTATTTGGACATTTATTGGAATATGACATCATTTGTTTACTTTTGAACATCGGCAAAAATCAAACATTTCCCCTACTTTGAGCTCCATTTCTAGGTTCTTTTTATAGTAAAATCAATCAAAATCACCTCTATTTCTATAATATGCTTTCCATTCTATCAAATGAGACCAAGAAAACGAGAATACAACCATAAATACTATATGAAAATAGACCACAAAGTTCGCCTTTTAATTAAAAAAATGGTCAGTTTTTTCTCATTATGCACTGTGTACTGCAGGATTTTTTATATGGTGCACACTGACCACACACCCATTCTCTCACGTGTGGCCCTACCAGCTTTCTCCTGCTTGATTTCAAGCTGCTAGAATTTATGAGTATACGTATATGCGTCAAACATGGTGGCTCGTAAGACGTATATATACGACTGAAACAGTCAAAGGGTTAACCCTTTGACTGTTTCAGGCCCCTCTCTGAAACTGTCATTCTATGTCGCTCAATTTTTGAAAAAAAAAAAATTATTTTTTCTTATGAAATGATAGAGAATCTTTTCCCGATGGTAATGACACCAAAAGTTCGAAATTTGGGCGAAAACTCGTGGAATTATACTCCCGCGAAGTTAGCGGTCTCGGCGACATATGCGTATCGGCGATTTCGCCGACTTTGAGCCCAATTTTCACCCAATTCCATTGATCCAGTTGACCAAACTCATAGCTATTTCTTTAGAACTCCATTTTATCTATCAGCTGAGTACAAGAAACCTCCCATTTACTAATTTGGACTACCCAATTAGGTGGTCAGAAATTGGCAATTTGGCCAATTTCACGCAAAATAAAAAGATGCCAATTTCAAAATAGGGTCCAGAATAAAACAAGGTAGACATTCGTGGCACTAAAATAACATATGCTCTGTTCATTAGTCACATCTCTAGGCCCCTCTTATATTATTATTGCTTTCTATTTTGATTTTTTATTCATACAAAAAATACAAAATTTACTGTTATGCAGACGACTGAATTATTGTAAAAATGGTATAAATAATATCAGTGCACTAGTGAAAGAATATTAGACTCACCAGTTGACGTGTATTGGACGTGTGGTGTGATTTATTTACTCTTGAACATTGGTAAAAATCGAACATTTCCGCTACTTTGAGCTCAGTTTCAAGGTCGTTTTCATCGTAAAAGTAATGAAAATCATCTCTATTTCTGTAATATGTTTCCCATTTTATCACCTAAGACCATGAAAACGCGAATACAACGATAAATACTATACGAAAATACACCTCAAAGTCGGCGTTTTATTCCAAAAAAACGATCAGAGTTTTTTTTTTCTCATTAAGCAATGTGTGCTGCAGGATTTTTTTTATGTGGTGCACACTGACCACACAGACCCATTCTCTCACATGTGGGCCTACCAGCTTTCTCCCACTTGATTTGAAGCCGCTAGAATTATTGAGTATATATACGTCAGAAACATTGGCTCGTAAGACGTATTTATACGTCGAAAACAGTCAAAGGGTTAATATAACATAGCTTTAACACACCGGCCGTCTCCCACCGAGGCACGGTGACCCGAAAAATAAAAACACTTTATAAAGGCTTTATTATTTCAACAATTAGTAATTTATATAGGAATTGGGGTTACTAATCCCTTGCTCCCAGCATTTCAGTCACCATTTATGACATGCATGGCTTAGGAAGGAGGGATTCTTCTCCATTTTACCTTGGAGTATAACAGGGCTAAGCTTTGAAATGAGCTGAAGTAGGATAACAGCTCTTAGCATGTAAAATTAATGCGTTAAAAAAAACTATGTGGAAAGTGAGGCTCATGTTTGAGTATGTTAGAGAAAACGGAAATATTTTCCAATAAAAGTAGGCCTACAAGAGGGATGATGTCACCATAGTAGTTTAAACCTTCAGTACTCCAAGGCTCCATTAAGGAGGTGCACATTATATGTGAAACTGTTGTTATTGCCTCCAGCCAGCAGGGAAACTCATATCCTTAACTAACTGGAGAGCCCTGACTCATTCCCAAGGAAAGTGAGGAGATGAGATGTGAAGCAGTGCAATTCTGGATATGCAAGAGGGTCATTCACACTTGCTCATAAGTAGGAATAACAACTGTCTGGATTCACTTTCATATTTATAAAAATAGTTATGGCAAAAAGCCGTAAGAGTAAAAAGGTTTTATAAAAGGTCAGTCTACAATTTACTAGAAATACATCCAAATCCCTCCATTACTTACATGAACTAATGTGAAAAGGTAATATAAAATGAATGTGTTTGTAAAAGTAATGAGTGTTTAAATGTTAGAAAGATGGTGAATGTAATCACAACTTACTCTTGTTGCAAAGCAGTGATGACAATCTTCTGAGCTGGCACAAAGCAATCGGCATCAATATCTTCCTGTACAACAGAAATAGCTTTGAAAATGTTATATACAATGGCATCACTCACTCCCACCGAACATTCCGCCTCCTTGGCCAGATACTTGTTAAAAATTCTCATGGCATCATCTGCTATACTTTGTCTTAGTTTGTGAGCCTGGTGGGACACTGAGGCACTTGGTCGAGAGTTACTCCTCTCCTCCACACTACTGTCTTGCAACACACTCTTGCTGCACTCGGTTTCAATATTCTTTTTTTGGATGTATGCCTTTTCTTTTTTTCTAACACTAACTGGTTCTTGGTGAGAAGTTCGAGCCTGACAAGTTAACACATTCGAAGAGCTTCCATCAGGAGTGTTAAGGGGAGTAACGTCACTCGCATTTTTAATGCCACTTACCAGATCTGGCAGTATTAGATTTTTGTTCTGGCAGTGGCGGTTGTCTTTCAAGCAACCCAAACTAACTTTTCCAGGTGATTGTGTATTATAGACTTGACTATTACTCTCACAATATATTCCTTCATCTCTGTCTGGTGTTTTATTACAATTCTTTTCATTAAATTTATCAGCTACATTACCAACCATGGAAGTAGGTTTATCACAGGTATTTTGAAAATCTTGGCTACTAATACGCGTTATGGCAGCAGCTCTAAAGTTGTTGGTATCCAGCCAAAACCGCGCATACTTATCAGCACCCCAACCTTGAAGAAACTGCATGAAGTATGGTAGAGTAGAGGGACTGTTGAGAATGTCATCTATTGTCTTCACAAACTGTGACTCAACAACAAGAGGGTCTACTCTTTCTTGAGCTGCAAAGGTTGACCAAAATTAGATCCTTCTAATTTAAAAAAAAATGACACACAAACATGAATGCATAAAATATCTACCTAAATAATTCATAGATAACCAGCACCTAGGAGAGGAAACTTAGGACTTATTAAGTAATGGTTTGGGATATTGGCAGTTTGGAGGGATATGTTGTGTATCTTTATACGTATATGCTTCTAAACTGTTGTGTCCTGGGCACCTCTGCAAAAAACAGTGATTATGTATAAGTGAGGTGAAAGTGTTGAATGATGATGAAAATATTTTCTTTTTGGGGATTTTCTTTCTTTTTGGGTCACCCTGCCTCGGTGGGAGACGGCCAACTTGTTAAAAAAAAAAAAATCTCACTTACAGTTTTTATGATTAGATTTACTTAAAATATACAGAACATTAATGGGCTGACTAATTTTAAAAAGCTTCTGAGAAGAGTTCCTCATAATGGATATACAATCTGCCCCTAAAGTTTCTTTATTTAACCCTTTGAGGGTCGCCAGGCCCTCTCAGAGACTTGTTCTCAGGGCCGACAAAAATTAAAAAAAAAAAAAAAAAAATTTTATGAAAAGATAGAATCTTTTCCCGATCATAATGACACCAAAAGTATGAAATTTGATGGAAAACTTTCAGCCATACTAGTATGGCTGAAACCCCGAAAGGGTTAAAATGCACACAAGTCTCACACTATGAAAAAATACAATGCACATAAAGGGCCCGAAGATCTGGAATTCACTACCTGAACAGGTACAGGATCTCCTGACTACATACAAATTTAAGGCTATGCTTAAAAATCATCTCATCTTTCAATACTAACCAAACCAACCAAAACAACTTCTAAACAGTTTGAAGCAACTCTTCCAAATATTATATATGACCTCTAGTCTATTAAAACATCTGCCAATCCATGAAATATTACTGTTTGAACCATTAATTGTAATATTGTTTTTATTAACCCTTTGACTGTCGCGGCCGTATACATACGTCTTACAAGGTACCGTGTTTGACGTATATATACTCATAAATTCTAGCGGCTTCAAATCAAGCAGGAGAAAGCTGGTAGGCCCACATGTGAGAGAATGGGTCTGTGTGGTCAGTGTGCACCACATAAAAAAAATCCTGGAGCACGCAGTGCATGAGAAAAAAAAAACTCCGACCGTTTTTTTTAATTAAAATGCCGACTTTGTGGTCTATTTTCATATAGTATTTATGTTTGTATTCTCGTTTTCTTGGTCTCATTTGATAGAATGGAAAACATATTATAGAAATAGAGGTGATTTTGATTGATTTTACTATAAAAAGAACCTAAAAATGGAGCTCAAAGTAGGGGAAATGTTTGATTTTTGCCAATGTTCAGAAGTAAACAAATGATGCCATTGTCCAATAAATGTCCAACTAGCCATTCTAATATGCAGTCATGAATGGGTTGATGTTATTTATACAATAATTACAGTATTGCAGTAGTCTGCATAATAGTAAGTCTTCTATTTTTTGTTTGAATAAAAATTCAAAATAGAAAGCAAGAGTAATATCAGAGGGGCCTGGAGACATGACTGATGAACAAAGAATATGTTATTTTAGAGCCAGGAATGTCTGCATTGTTCATTCTGGACCTTATTTTGAAATTGTCATATTTTTTAATTTTCGTGAAATTGGCCAAATTGAAAATTTCTGACCACATTATTGGGTAGTTGAAATCGGTAAATGGGCAGTTTCTTGTACTCAATCGATAGAAAAAATAGAGTTCTAAAGAAATAGCTATGAGTTTGGTCGACAGGAACAACGGAATCAGCTGAAAATAGGGCTCAAAGTGGGCGAAATCGCCGATTTGTAAATATCGCCGAGGTCGCTAACTTCGCGAGAGCATAATTCCGTCAGTTTTCCATCAAATTTCGTTTTTTTTGGTATCATTACAATCGGGAAAAGATTCTCTATTATTTCATAAGAAAAAGTAATTTTTTTTTTAAATTTTGCGACACCAGGAGACACCTCAGGATTGGGGGTTGCGACAGTCAAGGGGTTAAGTGCAGCTTCAAGATAATTATTTTCATAAACCTCCACCTTTACCTCACATTAGTATTAAGATAAAATAAAGATTTATTAAAAGGTTAACCACTCTCATCTTGTCTAGACATAAGTAGTTATTATGTACTAGGATCAGTCTGCCCGAAGTGTTCCGGCATGATAGTGGCTTTCTTTGTACTTAACAAATCAAAATTGTAATTATACATTGCACCCTTTGCAAAGAAATAAAATCTTTATTCTTTTATTCTTTATTCTTTAAAATTTAAATATTTTTCTTTCACACTTCATCACATATAGAGATGACATAAATCCACTCACCAACATCACACATAAAACACTGTTTGTCACATATAGAGATGACATAATCCACTCACCAACATCACACACAAAACAATGTTTGTCACATATAGAGATGACATAATCCACTCACCAACATCACACACAAAACAATGTTTGTCACATATAGAGATGACATAAATCCACTCACCAACATCACACATAAAACATTGCTCATCAGCTTGAGTGATGGTGTACGGTGCTGTCCGAATGATCTGGGTGGAATTCATGACAGGAGCACCTGCATCCTGGGATGCATACTGGGCACCTTGTTGACCAGCCTGTGGTGGGAGACCTCTCCTGGCATAGCTCACATGATTGGGACTCCCTCCTCCACTGCCTCCCCCACCTGTAACAATTCAATAAAAATCTAGTGAAGATCAACCTCAAATGGAAAAAAAAAATATGTATTTCAGTCGCTGTGTGATCCCTAAAAGGTACCCTTGTATTGCATAACCACAGCTCCTTCTATATCAATGCATGAGAAAAGACAGTACAGAGTGTGGCATAAGTTTCTCAAGTAGTTAAATACATGTATTTGTGTTGAAGATCTGATGTGAATCAGAAGATATATTCACATTATCACCAATGTCTTGATTTCTTCAGTAAAAGTGCCAAATTTTGGATATACACAGCCCAAAACTAAACCAAACATTCAACTACAAAACATGAGTTTTGAAGCCAGCTGAAGAAGCACTCTCTCTCTTGCTATCTTAAGAGACCAATATCCTTAAATATATCAGGAGATTAAGCTCAAAGTCACTCACATTTTACATTAATAAGTTATCAGCAGTGAAGAGTTAAACTGCTTCAATTCCAAACCTTTTAGAAACTGCAGCAAGATATTCCATTTACTGACTGTTAGCAATTTTGTATACAAAGTTGAGCTTCAAATGCTTTCATCCAGGCCTACATATTCTTTTGGATCCAGATCCAAAATAAATGTCCCCTTCTCATTTTGGCAAATTTATAATGTTTTTCATTTTTTGTTATGGCAGAATACCATGAAGAACAGCAGTGGTCTACCTTACATTATACAGGAGCTAAATATGGGACCTTGTTTGCTGGAGTAATCAGGCACTGCAGTCTATACAGGAGCTTTAACTTGGCAATTTTTTACTACTGTTCACTATCAATTATCCTCATATGAATAATAATAATTATACTATTTTTATTTCATCATAAGAACATAAGAAAGAAGGAACACTGCAACAGGCCTACTGACCCATGCAGAGCAGGTCCATGTCCCCCCCTTAGATTAGACCAATGACCCACCCTCCGGATTATCCCAATGACCCACCCAGTCTGGTCATCCCCACTCAAGGATGGAGCACTGTACCAGACCCAGCAGCACAAGCTAGTCAGGTCCAACTCACACCCACCCACACCCACTCATGTATTTATCTAACCTATTTTTAAAACTACACAACGTTTTAGCCTCAATAACTGTACTCGGGAGCTTGTTCCACTCATCCACAACTCTATTACCAAACCAGTGCTTTCCTATATCCTTCCTGAATCTGAATTTTTCCAACTTGAAACCATTGCTGCAATTGATGCAATGTTTGTACTGAGATGGTTGACATTTTGGTGTGCTTGCAGAAATCCCCTTGTTATAACAGAGCATTTTATGCATGGATCACAGGATATACCTTCACTGAAGTTACTGTTCAAATGGGCTTCTCATTACAAGGTATATTATGAACCATTTTCAGTTTACCTTTTGAGCTCAAAGCTTGGTTGGAAGTGAGTCCTCAGCTCACAACCTGAGGGCACTTCCTTACACCTGCTGCCTCTGTTCACCTAGCAGTAATAGTTAGCCAACTGTTGTAGGTTGTATCCTGGAGGACAAGATTATAAGACCCCAATGAAAATAAGACAGACAGTACCTAATGACACACTGACTTTGACTTTACTGGGTTATCACAGGGCTCAAACACAGAGCCTGGTGGAAAAATGGCCTCCTAACATTACTGTTGTGAACAGGAGCACCAACCTGTTCAGTGACAATGTTGTTCACCACTTTAGAAAATTTTTGAAAAGCCGTGAAAAGCAGACAACACTGGACAGCTTCTTTAGCAAAGATAAAAATCAGATGCTAGTGAATTCCCAACATCTTCAAGTGCTACTGCACAGAGACTGAGAAGAGAAAAATCACCAGACGGGCAGTTACCTGATGTTTTTATGGAAGGTGACAACCTTTCCAAACATTAATCTCTCTCCACCTCCCTCTTAGGCCATCAGCACTCCTCAGTAAAGGCAAAGTGCAGTTAAATTTTCATTTTTTTCAAGTATTTTTTTTTTTTTTAGTTTTCATGTACAATTTTATGCATGCAAATATTATTATACAGGTTTAAATAAGCAATATTTTCACTTAAAATATTTTATAACTGGTATTTTTTTGGGGTCTGGAATGGATTAATCTAGTTTACATTATTTCTTATGAGAAAAATTGATTCAATATTTGTACAACTCACTACAGTACTTGAACAACCTTCTGGAACAGATTAATTTTCAATGTCAAGATACCACAGCATATATATAAAACATTAAACTCAAATATAAACCCTTCTCTCAAACTTCTCCTTGATCAATCAATCAAGTTTATTCTCTATAAGGATTACAATGCAGGGTTTACAGATTTTGGTTATTGGGTGGTTTACATGTAATAAAATACTAATTACAGAGGGGGCCACTAGGACACCTAGCATGGCTAGGCATTTCGGGCAAACTTTGATTAATTCTTAACCCTAAATTATTACAAATTATGGAGTAAGTTGACTAAATACTAAGTGACTAAATACTAGTTTGTGAGTTTAGCAATGTGAATGCTTTTGTTTTGGCACAATACACAGTTTCTATATTCTATACAGGCAAACTTATGACTAGTTAGGAATCATTATTTTAAGATTAAGATTCGTATTTCTGTGCTTATAGTCAAATGGGTGAGTGATTGAGTGTAAGTGTGAACCACCAGGTGGTTTTTATGTACAGTGGACCCTTGAGTTTTGGCGGCATCGACTTTCGTGAAATCCGACTTTCGGCAAGTTTTTTCGGCAAAATTTGGCCTCGCGGTTCGTGATTAGACTCGTGATTTGGTGACTGTCTGGTACCCTTCCGCCTGTCACCACGCACACAAAGCCAGTCTCCCATGCCATTCACGCTCAGTGTGCCATTGTTTACCAACATGTGACCATCACCCTGCGGGTTCATACGTAATAATCCATTGTTTTTTGTGATTGCAACTGCTAAATAAGTCACCGTGGGCCCAAGGAAAGCTAGTGCAAGCCTTTTGGTAAAGAAAGTGAGAGACACGATTGAATTCAAGAAGGAAATCATTGAAAAATATGAGAGTGGAGTGCGTGTTACAGAGCTTGCCAGGATGTATGGCAAACCCCATTCAACCATCACTTCGATCATGGCGAAAGGAAAGGAAATAAAGTGTGCTGTTGTTGCAAAAGGGGTAGATATGCTGACAAAAAGGAGATCACAAATCCTCGAAGAAGTGGAGAGGTTATTGTTGGTGTGGATTACCGAAAAACAGTTAGCAGGAGATAGTGTTACGCAGTCGATAATATGTGAAAAGGCAAAGCAGTTGCATGACGATCTCGTAAAGAAAATGCCTGCAACAAGTGGTGATGCTTGTGATTTTAAGGCCAGCAAAGGTTGGTTTGAGAGATTTAAGAAGCGTAGTGGCATTCACAGTGTGATAAGGCATGGTGAGGCTGCCAGTTTTGACAAAATTGCAGCTGAGAAGTTTGTACAGGAGTTTAAGAAGTGCATAGACACTGGAGAATTCAAACCCCAACAAGTGTTTTAATTGTGATGAAACAGGCCTCTTTTGGAAGAAAATGCCAAAGAGGACCTACATCACGCAGGAGAAAACAGCACTCCCAGGACACAAGCCTATGAAGGATAGGCTTACTCTCATGTTTTGTAGTAAAGCTAGTGGGGATTTTAAAGTGAAGCCTTTACTGGTGTATCACTCTGAAAATCCCAGAGTGTTCAAGAAAAACAGTGTCGCCAAGAGTAATTTGTGTGTGATGTGGAAGGCTAACAGTAAGGCATGGGTCACAAGGGATATTTTCCTAGACTGGTTTAATGAAGTGTTTCTCCTTCCAAACAATAGTGTACACCTTCCTCCTATCCCCTCCTCCCGTCTTCCGTCCACCCAGAAGTCTTCAGTAGAGGTAAGTGTAATGTTATTATTATTTTTTATATGCATGTAGTACTTGATTTCTCATTGTTTTCAGCATGTAAATCTTTATTTAATTTGAAAAAAAAAAAAAAAAATTATTTTAATATTTTTGGGTGTCTGGAATGGATTAATTTTATTTCCATTATTTCTTATGGGAAAATGGTTTTGCCATTCGGCAATTTCGACTTTCGGCAGGCTCTCTGGAACGGATTAATCACGAAACTCAGGGGTCCACTGTAGTTAGCTGATGGGGTGTATCAGGGAGATAAGATGTTTTCTAACGGTAGTTTTGAAGGTGATGAATGTGTTTGTAGTTCTACAGTTTTCAGGTAGGGTGTTCCAGATTTTAGGGCCTTTGACATAACACACAGACATAACACTCTTCAACATCCCTGATGTCCACCTCATTCATGCAAAAATACATGCATAAAGGACCCCAAGATCTGGAATTCATTGCCCAAATCAGCAAAAGGTCCCCTATCTGCCAATTAATTTAGAGCTATAATTAAAATCACCTCGTCACCCAAATGTAACTACAACAACACTTTCTTATAAAAAAAAAAAAAACTCATCCAAGTACAGTCAACCCCCGAGTTTCGGCAGCATCAACTTTTGTGAAATTCGACTTTCGGCAAGTTTTTTTGGTAAAATTTGGCCTCGAGTTTCGTGATTAGAGCATGCCATTCATGCTCAGTGTGCCATTGTTTACCAACATGTGACCATCCTCCCGCGGGTTCATACGTAATAATCCATTGTTTTTTGTGATTGCAACTGCTAAATAAGTCACCAAGGGCCCAAGGAAAGCTAGTGCAAGGCCTTTGGTAAAGAAAGTGAAGAACACAATCCAGAGGTACTCTGAAGGGTTTGAGGCAGACCCTGACCCTGTTGACCCTCTGCCTGTTGTGGAAGGTGATGTGGCACTTTGCAAGTCCATGGGGTTGGAGGTGAGTGACGGGATGTGGAAGAGTTGGTGGAGGACCACAGGGAAGAGCTAACCACTGACAAACTGCAAGAGCTTCAACTGGAACAGCATCAGACCACATATGAGGAACTTGCTTCAGAGGAGAAAAAGAGAGTGAAGGAGGTGCCTTCTTCGGTGATTAAGGACATGTGTTCGAAGTGGAATGAGTTGCAAAGTTTTGTTGAAAAAT